TGTCTAGGCTGGAGGAAGAAATTATCCTTACCCCTGAGTGTAGCTCAGGCCTTCTCCCTGAACTATTCACCGCCTTCCATCTGCCATACCCTTCTGGTTAGGGCACTGTGAGACCCTGTGTCCCAAGGGGGCGAGGGGTCAGGATATGGTGGCCTGGCGATAACAGCTCCTGCGCTGGACTATCTCTAGCCATGAAGAGGGGTTGGAGGAGGATAATCCATTTCAACTGAGGGGGGGGTGCTCATGTAACTCAAAGTTGTGGAAACAGACTCAGAAAGAGTATTATCTCTTTGGACCAGTGCAAGCTGCCCCACCTGGACTCCCTGGGGGTGGAAGGAGCAGAGCCCCCAAGCCAAAGCTTGGGCTCCCCACACTGCATTGCAGGCTTCACTCAGATCCGTGAATCTTCTCCCCCCACCCTCTGCCTCTGGTCCTTACAGATGCTGACTCAGGAGCTGGCTCCCCTCGAGCACACGCACATAGACAGTCCCTCCTCCCCCGCCCCAACTCATTTGGGAAATTGGTTTGAAAGGAAAAGGGATGGAGAGGAGAAGCAGGAAGGTGGGCAGGAGAAGGGAGACCCTCAGCAGGGTCTCTGAGAGTCCTTTCTCCCTTCTGTAAGAAAAGCAGGCGGCGAGATGAGGCGTCAGGTGTGTCCCCCCAGTCCCAAGGACCAGGGATTCAATTTGGGGCTCAAGAAACTCATCCCTTTCTAGGGCCCCATGTGCCTTGGTCCCTCCCTCCCTCTGTCCCTCACCCCCTAGCCCAGCCTAAGAGCACCCCTGCAGCCTGGCACCCACTTCTGCCCACTCACACCGGCCTCATAATTAGCTAGAGAGGTCTGAGCCTCAGCCAAGAGCTGACCGTGCAGATGAGGGTAGAGGATGAGATCCAGCTGTGCCTGCCCTGGGGGAAGAGGGGGCACAGCTCCCCTCTACCCCTCCCCAGACTCCCCAACAAATATCTGGGTCAATGATTCCCCTTCCCAAACCACATGTGGCTAGCTCTGCCTCCATTCATGCAGATCTCCCCTACCCAAGTGCAGCCAGAGAAGCAAAGAGAAGGCAGCCCCCACTCTCCACGCGGATCTCAGGTTTTCAGGTCAGACAAATGGAAAGCTTTCTGCAGGGAAGGAGCCTTGGGGGAAAGGGGAGCCCTAGGGCTCTGGGAGGAGTACACTCCCACCATAGAGGGTGGGGAAAGGCAAGGTAGGTCCTTGGTGTCTTCATTGCCATCTTAGAGCTGACCGGAAGTAGGGCACACACACACACACACACACACACACACACACACACACACATCCCCACATACACACACACACACACACACACCCTGGGCTGTCTTACCAAAGATAGTCAAGCCCCAAGCAAGAGCCCAAGAGTGGGACAGACCCTGTCTGACCTTGGGCCTGCTGCTGGATGGTGATAGGGTGGGTAGGAAAGACTCCCTATAATCAGCTTCCCAGGAGCTCCAGCAGAGAGCCCTGAGCTGGGGGTGGGGGGAATCAGGCAAGGTTTCCAAGGCAGCCCTGCCTCTCCTGAACATACCGGTCCAGACACAGGTTCTTGAACTGGGGTTGCATGCTATAGCCTGAAGGCTACGTGTGGGCAGTGGGCCTCAGGCTCATAGCCTGAGGGCAGGGACCCAAACCAGCCAGCCTCCCTACCTCCCCACCAGCCTCTTCCCTGGCTGCCCAAGGTTTGGATACATTTCCTCTTCTTGCTGCAGGCTCCAGAGGGAGAAAGATGAGGTTACAAACATTTCCTAAGTCACTAACAAGGCCCCTGTCTGTCCATTCTACCTTCCCCACATCCATCCCTTCCCCTCTGTTCCCATGGTGTCCACCCTAGGACAACCTTTCATGCCTCCTAATGCTCCTCCTACCTCGATGATCCCCCCACCCTACCCCCAATTGCTCTTTTGTAGTCCTACCAGATTAGCCCTGCTTCTATATATATCTGGTCATGGAGCTCCTCAGCTCAACAGTCTTTACTGGCTCCCCATTGCCTATCAAGCAAAGCATCAATCCTGTCTTTTAAGAACTGGTCTTAAACATTTTTGGTTTTATTTCCTAATTCTAGGTGTTCTCAAAAGTTAAAACTGCACAATGGCTTTTGGGACATTTGTCTTCCTAACCTCCTGTAATGAATCTTAAACTTCCCCACCCCAAAGCCTTTGGCTGAGCTGTGCCCCATGTCTGGAAAAGCTTTCCCTTCTCTTAACTTGTTCTTCAATTCTTACCTTCATTTTCAAAGCCTAAATCAAATACTATCCCATCCAGGAAATGTTTTCTGCTTTTCCCTCTAGTGGGTGAAGACCCTTTATTTGACCTTCTCTATGCAATTTTTATACATTATTTTGTAGTTTTTAAATTTTCTTTTCTGGGTGCATGTTTTATTACCCAGGAGAATGTAAGTTTGCTGGAATCAGGGCCTGTTTCTCAGTCGATGTTTACAAACCAGAGCTAAACAAGTTTTATTGGTCCAAGCTCTGTAGTCTTAAGGAGTTATCTGCAGAATTAAAAGGATTCAACATGTCCAAGGGGACAAGTTTGGGTCAAAGGCAGGGCTCAAACCCAGATCTTCCTGAGTCCAGGGCCAGCCAGCTACCTGCCAAGAACAGAGTTTGGGGAAACAGGGAGACTCTGGTCCTCAGGACCCAGGCCCTCACAGCCACTGATCAGCAGTGTCAGTGAGGAGCTGGGCCTCAAGGTACAGCAAGGAGAGGAGGGGCCAGAGAGATGAGGAATCCAACAGATGATTCTGAGGTGGGGGTATGGGTGGCGGTGCTAGACTGATCTCTCCCTATATACTGGGAAGAAATTATGGAGTTTATTGCTTGTTAATTCTGAATTTTTTCATCTCCCTACTCTGTTTTGGAGGCAATTGGGGTTAAGTGACTTGCTCAGGGTCACACAGCTAGTAAGTTTCTGAAGCTGGATTTGAACTCAGGTCCTCCTGACTCCAGAGCCAATATTCTATCCACTTTGCCAATTTGCTGCCTTCCCTACTCTTAAATTGAAAAAAATCCAGACCAAGAGAAAAATAAAAGCAGAGCTGGGATTCAACCTAGGTCCTCTGACTTCAGGTTTCGTATCCAAGATGAAGGAGGCTTGGTTTAAGCATTAGTTTGTCTGAAAAAGATCTGGGGATTTTAGTGGACCACACAGCTTATGAGATAACAGTGTAATGGAGTAGCCAAAGAAAAATACAATCTTACAATACACAAAGAGGGACATAGTATCCAAGAAGAAGGAGGTAACACTGTCCTATAGTGCGCTTGGTAAGATCTCAACTGGAGCATTGGGATCCATTTAGGATGGCATGCCCTGTTGGGCCATGTCCAGAAGAGGGCAATGGGAGTGTGGAAGGGCCTCCAGAGCAGACCAGAATTAGGCAACATCCCCCTATATGAAAGGGCGTAATTGCTGAGTGCCTACCGTGTGCTAGGCACCATGCCACGAGCAGAAGACATGAAGCCAAAAAAGTATAAGCAAGATATCAACAGAATAGGTTGGGAGTGGTTTGCTCCCATTCCCTGGCTCCCCACGGCCACTTCCAGGTTCTCCTGCTGCCTCAATCATTCTTCTTGTTTGAGGTCTGTGCTATTCAGCAATACCACCCAATTAAAATCCTGGTAGCTGTGGTCTCCACCCTCCCCTTCTCCAGATCACTCTCTGTTTCCTTCTTCAATGACTCCAATATGTGGCTCACAATGTTTCTCTTCTCCCCAACTCTTGCCCTCCTGCCAGGGGACCTCAACGTAATACCGACTCTCTTTCAAACCCCCTGACCCCTCAGTTCCTCGATCTATTCTTTTCTGGTGAGCCGCTCCTCCACCCCATTCAGCCACACCCAAAGATGGTCATACCTTAGATCTTACCATCACCCACAAATGCGCCAGTTCCATGTTCAAGAATTTGGAAATCCACTTATCTGGCCATAATTTCTGGACTTTTCATCTCTCCCTTCTGCCTTCCCTTTCAATACCCTGCTTTTCATCCTCACTGTAACCACCAATCCCTGGACCCCTCAATTCTCTCCCAGGCCATCTCCCCTCTGCTAACCACTCTCTCCTCTTCTCCCCATCTTCACCCCTATTTGAACCAGTTCAACTCTCCACTGCCCTCCTCTCTTGAATCTCTAGCCCCTTTCTCATATCCCCAGTTACACCCAGCCAAGCTTCGGCTTTGGGTCACTCCCACATTCATCACCTTTGCTCCTACACACATACTGCTAAACAAAGATGAAGAAAATCCCACAACCATTCTGACTGGGTCCAGTATAAATTTATGTTCCAGAATCTCAACGGAGCCCTCACTGCCGCTGGGCCATCCTCCCTTATCAGCTCTCCCCCTTTCTGCAGTTGCTCTAACAAAACTTATCCTTCCTCAAACCTCCCATGGCTCCCTTCCCCTCGCTCTCTCAGCTGAGAATCTTGCCTTGTATTTTATAGAGAAGCTTGAGACTATTCTCCTCAAGCTCTCTCTCCCTTATTAATTACCTCCTATTTAACCCATCTGTAGGTTGCTTTGTATGTATTTATTTGCTTCTTGTCTCTGCCATTAGATTGGAAGCTCCTCGAGTGCAGGCAGTCTTTTGCCTCTTTTTGTATATCGTCCTCAGTTCTATCTCTCAGTGTCTAGCTTCCCTGAGGTCCCAGGTCAGGTGCCGCCTCCTACAGGGAAGCCTTTCCTCATCTCCCCGGCTCTTAGCGCTTTCTCCTTCCTCAGATTATCTTCTATTTACTTATGCGTAACTGTTATATCCTCCCATAGAAGGCAAATGCCTTGAGGTAAAAGGATTTAAGATAAATGGGAGCTGAGAGATATCCCAGCTACCCAACTGAAGTCTTTCACATCACAGAACCCTAGCTGTTTATTAAATTAAATGCCATTGTTGGGGAGGGACCTGGTGCCCCTTAAGATTAGAAAGGAAAAATGAGCCCCCTACCTCCCTTCCCTTCTAGGGGAAGAAAGGAGGGGAAAACAGACTTTGGAGTACAAGAGGCAGGTTTGCTCCTTTATTGACATTCATTATTGACAGTTGGATCCAGACAATTAAGACAGGGAGTTTGCCAGGGCAAGGGTCAGGACCTAGGAAAGAAATCAAGACCCAGGGGAGTGTGGAAGGGCAGGTCAATAGGGGAGCACCAAACCAAATCTCAAGGCCCAACACTTTATCATCCCAACCCAACCCAAGAGCCAGAGGAAAGTCAAAAAAGTCAAAGAGCCAAGAGAATGACAAGGCCCCTCAACACGCACATAACATTCTCTTCCATACCATACTAGTATCCTTTCCCTCCACCCCCTCCGCGAAGCCGCAGGTTCATCTGGATGGTGCACAAGGGGCTGAGGTCATAGTCTCCCAAGTGGTCATTGTCGTCCATGGGCTTCCCCTCAAATTGGAGCCAGAACTGGTTCACACTGACCCGCTCCTTCTCCTGCACCATCTTCTTGAGCTCGGCCACAGTCTGGCTCAGCTGGATGTGGTAGGAGTTGGCGTGGACATCCTTCCGCACCAGGATGTCCATGGACTGGTCTTGCTCCACCAACAGCAGGAGCACATCTCCAGTCTTCAACTTGTGCTGGGAGAGGAGTTTCCTGTTTAACAGCAGCTCCCCGTCTTTTGTGGCCAGCCGCTGTAGGTATGCCTGCACACCGGTCTTCTGGGCAATCAGTTTCTTCAGCTCCATGACAGTGATGTGGCCTTCTGCCTTCACTGTGTGTTCCATTCCAGTGATCATCTTCACCTTCAGACACAGGCTCTGCAAGAGATGCCAGATAACATTTGAGACTCAAGCACTTCCAGCCCTGTGAGGGGGTACGTCCCTTTTACAGAGGAGGAAACTGAGACTTAGAGAAGATAAACAGCTTAGGAAGTAGTCCAGTTCCTTTGGAAAGAACACTGAATTTGGAGTCAGGTAACATAAGTTTCCTGCCTTTGTCACTTACTACCTGGGTGATCCCAAGTGATTTAGGCAACTGGGTGCGGCAGTGGGTAGAGAGGCCAAAAGACTTGAGTTCAAATCCAGCCTCAGTGGCTAATTTAGCTGTGTGATCTTGGAGGAGGGGAGACTCAGCCTCAGTTTCCACATCTGTAACCTGGAGGTCATAATAGCACCTACCTACCAAGGTTGTTGTGAGGATAAAATGAAATGACATTTGTAAAGTACTTTGTAAACCTTGACATATTCTGTAAGTGGGAGCTACTGTTCTTATTATGGAGTCCTTACCCTTTCTAGGCTTTGGCCACCTCCTCTGCGAAACAGAGAGATTCAGGGGCAGCTAGGTAGCACAGTGGACAGAGCTCTGGCTTTGGAGTCAGGAGGACCTGAGTTCAAATCCAGCCTCAGACACTTGACATTTACTAGCTGTGAGACCCTGGGCAAGTCACTTAACCCCGATTGCCTCGCAAAAAAAAAAAAACTGCCAAAGAAAAGGAAGATTTGGCTAGATGGTCTAGCCCCACACCTAAAACCCTGGGATCCCCTCGTCACATACTGGGGATAAGTGCGAACAGAAGTGGAGACTGAGGCTTCTCTGCAAGTCACCTAGTCCTTATCAGGCTGCTCCCCAACCTTGAGAATTAATCATAGCAACCTTAGATTTCTCTCTCTGTCTCTCTTTATCTCTTTTTCTTTATCTCTCTGTGTCTGTCTCTCTCTCTATCTCTGTCTTTCTCTATCTCTTTCTCTTTATCTCTCTCTCTGTCTCTGTCTCTGTGTGTGTGTTTGTGTCTTTCTGTCTCTGTCTCTGCCTGTCTCTCTGTCTGTCTCTTCTCTCTGCCTATCTCTGTCTCTCTGTGTGTCTTTGCTTTCTGTCTCTGTCTTTGTCTCTCTCTCTGTCTTTCTCCATTTCTTTTTCTTTATCTTTCTGTCTCTCTGTCTCTCTGTCTCTGTCTCTCTGTTTTTCTGTCTCTGTCTCTGTCTCTGTCTCTCTCTCTCTCTCTCTCACACACACACACACACACACACACACACACACACACACACACCCCTGCCACATCTTGCCTTGTAGTTATCTGGCCCCTCTCCCTTCGGTGAGTTCGGGAACAGTACATTGGCAGGGGAAGTGGTGCATGGGATTGTGCACAGAGCACCTCAGCGACAGCCCCTCAAAAGAGCGCTGGTTTTGGAGTAAAGGGCTCAAGGTTCAAACCCCACTTCCAGACCTTTCTAGCTGTGTGCCTTTGCTAAAATTACTTCAGGTCTACGGGTCACCCTTTCCTCATCTGTAAAATAAAGGGGTTGTACTAGGTGGGTCGAAGGTCTGGGAGGGCACTCAATAGTAACCTGCAGTATTGTGTCGTATGGAATCCTAGCCCAGCCCAGCTCAGCCCAGGCTAGCTAAGCCTAACTTATTCTATCCTATTTTGTGTAGGGGGGAGGAAGGGACAGAGACAGAGACAGGAGAGAGAGTGGAAGGGAAAGGAGGGAGGGTGAAGAGAAGAGGAGGGGGAGTAGAGAGAGATGGGAAGAGAGAGAGGAGGAGAGAGAGGAGGGGGGGAGGAGAGAGAGATTGAAGAGGGGGGAGGAGGCAGAGGGGAGAGAGAGAGAAGGAGAGGGGAGAGAGAGGAAGAGGAAGAAAGGTCGAGAGAGAGAAGGAAAGAGACAGGAGAGAAGAGGGAGGGAGAGAAAAAAAGAGGAGAGAAAGAAAATGAGAGAAGCAATCTCAATGCCTGTCCATATACTCCTCAGCAGTGGAAAATGCTAGCTTTGGAGTCAAAAATCTTGAGTTCTAATCCCATCCTTACCACTTAGTACCTCTGTGACTTTATATAAGTAAGAATTTGTCTGGATCTGAGTTTCCTCTGCTATAATATAAGGTGGTTGACTTCTAAAGTCCCTTGCAGCTCAAAATCTGGATAGGAGCCTCAACACTGCTTGTGTTGGAAAGCATAGATTTAAATATAGAAGGGATGTCAGAAGTCACTGAGTCTAATTCCATTTTCCAGATGAAGAAACTGAGGCTCATGCCCAAGGTCCCTCAGATCATCAATGTCTTACTCCAGCAAGTGGAAGTCTGGGTCAAGCATTCTTATCCCCATTTTATTGATGAGAAAGCCAAAATTCAAATTCAGGAAAGCATAGGAAGACTTGGGCAAAGTGCTACAGATGGAGAAAGCAGACTTTAACAACGGCAAGGAGAATATAGCTGAGAGGACAGTGGACTTGGATGGATTGCAATGAACCCTCTGGTCCCTGAAGAACAGGAGAGGAATAAAATAAATAGCATACCTCCCTACTCTTGGGAGGGAGATCAGAGCTGGGGAAGGAGGCGGTACACCTCTTCAACTCAGTCGCCCCTTCAGTTTATTTTGCCTACCTGTTGATTCCTGTTAGAAGGGAGGAGGTGTAGGGGCAGCTGGGTGGCACAGTGGATAGAGTACTGGCCTTGGAGTCAGGAGGACCTGAGTTCAAATCCAGCCTCAGACACATAACACTTACTAGCTGTGTGACCCTGGGCAAGTCACTTAACCCCATTTCCTAGCCAAAAAAAAAAAAGAAGAAGAAGAAGAAGGGAGGAGGTGCACATTAGGAAAGGGGAGTAATGTAGAGGAGAAGGGAAAAAAACAACTTAAAATGGGGGGCAAGGGAAACTGAGGCCCAGAGGGATGATGTACCCCGGGGGCTCCCATCTTACCATGGCTGCAGGTCTTAGGCAAGGTAGGTTTGCTCAGGCTCCGCTCTGGCTTTCAGGGCTGCTTTCTCTCTCACAGCTCTGTCACTCGCTCTGTGACAGCCTATGACTGGCTCCTTTTATATGCCCCAACCGGCTTAGCATAACACAAGGGGCAGATCCAGAAACACACAGCTCTGGAAACTGAAACTCTACTTTGCCGATAGAACATTTCTTCAGTTTCATTTTCCCTTCTGATCTGTGGCCAGGCTAGAGGCAGAAACAAAACTCAGCTGTAAGACTGGAAATCACTGAAGTGCCCCATCTGTCAGACTTCTCCCCGTAGACAGGGTTTCCAGCGGGGCTGCGAGAAGAAAGGAGATTTGACTGGGGCTAGTGAGGCGCGATCCCCATCCCCACCCACCCCTAAATGCCTACATTCTCCTTTGGACCTCCTTCCCTGAGCTTACCTCATCTGGTCTGCCCTACATGGCCCCTCCTGTGGCATTTGAAGAAAGAGGAACTGGATTCAAATGCAATCTTGCTTGCTGCTACTAACCGTGTGACCCCAGACAGGAAGTCACTGCCTCAGTTTCTTCATCTGTGAAATGACGAAGCTGACCCCTCCCCCAAGGTCTTTTCCTGCTCTAAACCTATGATGAATGAATAAAGGAAAAAGCATTTGCTTAGCACTGTGTTACCAAGCCCCATGCCGTCCTAACTTTGCAGTTTATTACGTATGTGCCTTGGGATGAAGCACCTAAATGGAGAAGTCATTCTAGATGCCCTCTGAAGTACCTTTCAACTCTGAATCTGTGGATCTATAGAAGTTCAAATACCAGCTTTGCCCCTTGCTACCATGGCTATGACTACGTTTATGACTTCTAAATAATAATAACAATAATAGCTGACATTTGTATGGTGCTTGCACTGTGCTAAATGATTTACAAATATGATCTCATTTGATCCTCAAAACAACCCTGGGAGCTAGGGGCTATTATCACTCCCATTTTACAGATGAGGAAACTGAGGTAAACAGAGGTTAAGTGATTTGTGTCTGAAGCCAGATTTTGAATTCAAGGCTTCCAGGCTCCAGTCTCAGCACTCTAGCCACAAAGCCACTTAGCTGCCCTCTAGGTGAGCCACTACCTGTGAGACCTTAGGCAATTCACTTTGACTTTTCTGTTCCTCAACTTTAAAGTGAAGGCCCCTTCCAGAATCTAAGAGCTGGATTTAGAGTCTGAAGACCTGAGTTCAAATCTCACCCCTGCCTCTTTCTACCTGCCTGACACTGGGCAGGTCACAATTCTCTGATCCTCAGATTTTGAGCATTTGTTTTCACTGAGTTGATGACAGGTTGGGTTTCTTCAACTGAAAAACTACATCTTCATGTCTTTTTGTTTTGTTTGTGTTTGTTGCTAGGCAGTGGGGTTAAGTGATCTGCCCAGGGTCACACAGCTAGTTCAAGTCAAGTGTCTGAGGCTGGATTTGAACTCAGGTCCTCCTGACTCCAGGGCTGGTGCTCTATCCACTGTGCTACCTAGCTGCCCCCCCCATCTTCATATCTTTTGACCTTTATTTGGAAATAGTTCCTAGTCTTAAAAATTTGGATCAGTTCGTAATATATTTTGGATATAAGACCTTTATTAGAGAAAATTGCTGCAAAGATTTTTCCCCAATTACCTGTTTCCCCTCTAATTTTTACTACATTGGATTAATCTACATATAAACTTTTAAATTTTATATAATCAAAATTATTAATTTTTTTCCCATAATCCTCTCTGTCACCTGATGGGGCATGAATTCTTCCACTATCTATAGATCTGAAAAGTGCTTTCTTCGTTGCTCCTATATGGGCCTCTAGGTGGTGCTATAGTGGATAGCATTCTGGGCCTGGAGTCAGGAAGATTCATCTTCAGGAGTTCAAATGTGAACTCAGACACTTACTAGTTGTGTGACCCTGGGCAAGTCACTTCACCCAATTTGCCTCAGTTTCCTCATCTGTAAAATGAGCTGGAGAAGGAAACAACAAACTCCTCCAGTGTCTTTGCCAAGAAAACCTCAAATGGGGGAGAGGCAGATAGGTGGTGCAGTAGATAGAGCACCAGCCCTGAAGTCAGGAGGACCTGAGTTCAAATCTGACCTCAGACCAAACACTTGACACTTACTAGCTGTGTGACCCTGGGCAAGTCACTTAATCCCAATTGCCAAGAAAGAAAGAAAGAAAAAGGAAACCTCAAATGGGTCCAGAGAATCAGACACAACTGAAAATGACTAAACAGCAATAAGGCCTTTTATATCTAGGCCATGTATCCATTTGGAGTTTATCTTAGTATTTGGTGAAAGGTGCTAGTCACTTCCTTTCCTGGTTAAACCTCTAGGTTTAATCTAGGCATAATACAAATATGACTAAATTTCCAGAAACTCTCTCTCTTACCTGTACACATTCCAACTACCCTCCTAGGAAAAATCTATTTTCCCTTTGAATTAAGTTCCCCTCTCTCAGTTTCTAACCACATACTGACAGAATTCCCCCAGAATCACGGTAGATGACCTTTCATAGCTGCTTCAAGTAACACGGAAACTGAAATGAATTTCAACAGGCACCTGGCTTCCAAATGTTAGCCATGCTGGTTACAGCTGTGGGCTGAATGGCTTTCCCACTCATGTACCATCTCCTACCTGCTAAAGGGGAAATCAGAAGTGAGGTGTGCTTGGACAGGCTTTAGGAATCAAGACTCCTGGCTTCCCCAGGCAATGAGGGAGAATGTAAAGAGGGCCATGATTAGTTTCTATGGACCTCACCAGCCAGCTGTCTGAGGTTTCTATCCAATCTGCTTCCTATTCCTCTGGCCACCACCTATCTACTTCTTTCTGTTCAGCTCAGTTGGTCACTCCACAGTCCTCTCGTCTGAACCAAAGGCAGTTTGCTGGTCATTACTCCACTCACCTCCTGGTTAGCCATTCCATCCATCTCCTCCTGGGGCCACCTGGATTCTCTGCTGAAATCTCTGTCAACACCACTGGTAACCAGAGGGACCGGTGGCTTTCTGGTGCAACCAGAAACATAGCTATCTGTTTCTCCTCCTCTGTCTTAGAGACATTTCTGTTTGTTTGCTTTTGTTTTATTTCAGGCAACTGGGGTTAAGTGACTTGCCCAGGGTCACACAGCTAGTGAGTGTCAAGTGTTTGGTCTGAGACCAGATTTGAACTCAGGTCCTCCTGACTTCAGGGCCAGTGCTCTATCCACTGCGCCACTTAGCCGCCCCTGTCTTAGAGACATCTCTGGAAGACAGGTTATACAATCAAGCAATCGATAATCATTTTTAAGCCCCTACTATATATCCGGCACTGGGTATACAAATATGAAAGTGGCCCAGTCTCTGTCCACAAGGAGCTTACACTCTACTGGGAGAATACAACATAGGCTAGCAGGCCATACATGGCCTTCTAAAACCTTGAGGGCTTCACTTGAGGACCTAGAGGGCCACATATGGTCTCAAGGCCAAAGGTTCCCTGGGCTAAGAGAAGGAAGGACAATCATGAGGGAATCTAGTAAGGTTTCCTGTGGAAGCTGGCAATGGAGTTAAGCCTCAATGGAAGGTAGAGAAAGACAAAGAGCACTTCAGACATGAGGGACATGGAAAATGGAACGGTCCATTCTTGGAACAACAATTAGGTCATTCTGGCCAACTTGAAGATATAGGAAAGAGGAAGCATGTGAAATCAGACTGAGAAAGTATACTACAGCCGGACTGGGCAAGGTTTAAATAGCAGGGTCATTGGTCCCTTCAGTCAGTTGTTTCAGCTGTGTCTGACTCTTCATGACCCCATTTGGGGTTTTTTTGGCAAAGATACCAGAGTAGTTTGCCATTTCTCATTTTACAAATGAGAAAACTGAGGCAAACAAGGTTTAAATTAAATTATATTAAATGCATATTATTTATTAAATATATATTTATTAAATTTATTGAATATATTTATAAAATATATATATAATATGTATTATATTAAATAAATTAAATTAAATGTCTGAGACCAGATTTGAACTCAGAAGGCAAGTCCTGATTCCAGGCCCAGCACCCCACGTCACCTAGCGGCCTGAAGGAGAGGATAGACTGTGCGCAAATAGTAAGTCCAGTTTTGAGAATACAAGAAGGACAATTTAGCTTAAGTACTTGACAGCAAGTGATGTACAGTCATTTTGGAAAGATAAATTGCATAATATACATGTAAATAGAACAAAACACAAAATAAAATGGGATGTTATATAATTACAATGACCAAAATAGTTCACCTTGAAGAAAAATTGAAAAAATACACTTGGTTCCATTCTTTGCCCAGATGGAGGACTAGGGGGATGTGACTCCCCATTACCTGTCAGACAACACTGATAGGTTGATTGCTTTTGCTACTTCCTTCCTCCCCTCTTCTTTCTTTTTTTTTTTGGCTTTTTTTTTTGTGAGGCAATCAGGGTTAAGTGACTTGCCCAGGGTCACACAGCCAGTAAGAGTTACGTGTCTGAGACTGGATTTGAACTCAGGTCCTCCTGACTCCAAGACCAGAGCTCTATCCACTGCTCCATCTAGCTGCCCCTCCTCCTCTTTCTTTTGAAAAAATCTTTTGCATGAGGGATGGCTCACTGGGTAGGAGAGTGCATACAGGACATATTCTGAAATTAAAGTGTTGTAAAATCAAAAGATCAATGCAATTTTTATGAAACTTTTAAAAATTTATTCTTTCTCAATTACATATGAAAACAATTTTTAACATTCATTTTTAAAATTTTTGAGTTCCACATTCTCTCCCTTCCTCCCTTCCCTCTCCCTTCCTTGAGAAGGCAAGCAATTTGATAAAGATTATACATGTGCAATCATACAAAATGTTTCCATATTAGTGATGTTACAAAAGAAAACACAGAGAAGAAAGAAAGACATAGAGAGAGAGAGGAGAGAGAGAGAGAGAGAGAGAGAGGAGAGAGAGAGAGAGAGAGAGAGAGAGGAAGGAAGGAAGGAAGGAAGGAAGGAAGGAGGAAGGAAAAGGAAGGAAGGAAGGGAAAGAAGAAAGAAGAAGAAGAAAGAAAGAAAGAAAGAAAGAAAGAAAAAGAAAAAAGAAAAAGAAGAAAGAAAGAAGAAGAAAGAAAGAAAGAAAGAAAGAAAGAAGAAAGAAAGAAAGAAGGAAGGAAGGAAGGAAGGAAGGAAGGAAGGAAGGAAGGAAGGGAGGGAGGGAGGGAGGGAGGGAGGGAGGGAAGGAAGGAAGGAAGGAAAGAAAGAAAGAAAGAAAGAAAGAAAGAAAGAAAGAAAGAAAGAAAGAAAGAAAGAAAGAAAGAAAGAAAGAAAGAAAGAAAGAAAGAAAGAAAGAAAGAAAGAAAGAAAATCTGCTTCAATCTGCACTCAAAGTTCATCAGTTCTCTCTGGATATGGATAGCATTTTTCATCATGAGTCCTTTGGAATTGTCTTGGAACGTTGCATTGCTGTGAACGGCTAAGTCATTCACAGTTGATCTTTATACAATGTTGCTGATACTGTGTGCAATGTC